GTTGCAGCCCTAGTTTTTTATATAAAAGTATCACTTTGTATCTACTGTAAAAAAAATAGAATCTCAAAATAGAATCTTAATCAAATGTGGACATCTGAAAATACCAATCAAACTTCTAAAGGACAGAGGAGGAGTTTGGATCCATGAAAAACATAAAATATCTTCTGATTATTAAAATCACATTTTTGGCCTTTTGTCACACTTTTGTACCCATTAGTCCAGTCCTGGGTCTACAGCCTCAGTCGTCCTGGGTCTACAGCCTCAGTCCTGGGTCTACAGCCTCAGTCCTTGGTCTACAGCCTCAGTCCTGGGTCTACAGCCTCAGTCCTGGGTCTACAGCCTCAGTCCTGGGTCTACAGCCTCAGTCCTGGGTCTACAGCCTCAGTCCTGGGTCTACAGCCTCAGTCCTGGGTCTACAACCTTAGTCCTGGGTCTACAGCCTCAGTCCTGGGTCTACAGCCTCAGTCCTGGGTCTACAGCCTCAGTCCTGGGTCTAGAGCATAAGATAAGATAAGAGATCCTTTATTCGTCCCACAGTGATGAAATGTCGGTGTTGCAGCGCACAGACAGGACAGTAGTAAGAGACACAGGGAGCACACAAAATATACAAAATAAGTATACTATGTACCTATATATTAATATTGACACTATTTCTGATTGCCACTTTTTTATTGTACATAATATATCCTGCATTTAACATGTTTGCACATTCCTCCCTTTTTTGCACAATCTGAGTGTTCCTATCCAGGCCAAATGTGACATGTACATTTCTCCTTTGTGAGATAAATAAAGAATATCTTATGGTTTTAGTATTTATTTGAGCATATCTGGTCTTCATAGCCTCACAGCCTGTCTGTCCGTGTGGCTATGAACAAATATGAACTATGACATGATACAATGAACATCCTTCAGAAACAGAAACAGGGAAACGTACAGTCTGACACTTTATAAGAATAATTATAGATAAGGGTTAGTGTTAATGTGAGCTGTTGTGTTTGAGGAAACTGTTCTGGATCTGCTCTCACCACATTCTGGAAGGACTTCAGTACATTCATTATAGAGCATCTTCAGAACCACTTTACTTTCAATGGGAACGTTTTGAAGAAGACACCTTTTCTTCTTAATACTCTATTTATTTTGTAATCAATAATAGATGAAATGACTGATAAAGATATTGATGAACTACATTTGGGGCTTAATATTTTTAAATGGGTTAAATATATTTCGGGTGTTCATTTTGACCTTGTTCAGATGATCATGTTAGAAAACCGGCTTGTTAAGTGGCACCTATTACACTTCCGCATAGAAACGCTATGGGGGCGACAAAATGGCGGACGATGACGTAGGAGAGGACCTTCTTACAGCAGCAGCAAGTCTGGGCTGTATCTGAAGGAGGTTCACTGTCATCTAGAGCTGCAAATTAACGATTTTTTATTTTAATAATCGATTTTTTCGATTATTTCATCGATTAATCGGATAAAAAAGCATTTTTAGTTTCTTATCCAGTTATAATAACGTGGCCTTGGATTCAACACAAAGAAAACAAACAAATGGTGGCTCTGCTAGTATAACGTAATGTGCACAAAAACAGGTTTTGTTGTTTAACCCAAAGAGCAAATTACAGGACAAGACACGTTTGGTGTAAGTAATTAAGTCATTTTTAGGTAATTGTACGTTGGTTTTTGGTAGTGCATATATCAAAAACTTTTTGACATTTTTATTTCAAAAGGCGTGTAACTTCAAAGTGATAGGCGGAAAGACTTTCTAGTAAATTACAGAATTATTAGGATCGGCCAAAAGTTTTATGTGGGAATAAGTGCAACCATATAATTAGCTTATGACGTTGAAATTGTGGATTCTAGAAATTTTCATAAAATGTGTCTTACTGCTCTGCTCTCCCTCCCCTCACTCTCTCTCCTCTCATCCCGCCCCCTCTCCTCGTCTCACGCCTCTCTCCCTCTCTTCCTCTATATGCCCTCCCCTCTAGTCTAACACCAGACAAAGGTTTCTCCAATCGTTACTGTCATGGTGTGGCGGGAGGACTATTTGCGGAGATTTTAACGGAGGACTAGCAGAGGATGGAGTTGCGGCGTCCGACGTGACTTCAGCTTGTCTCCGCAAATCTAACTGTTTCCGAACCTCCAATGACAGCCATGACCCTGAGAAACAATGTTACCACTGACTCTGTGCAAAGTACTCTGTCTAACGTTAGTGCGGTTTACAACACTCGCACGCTTCCTTTGCGTCGCTATTCTTGCTCTGGTTCAACCTGGTCTTGCTCGGATTGAATCGCCTCCACCGTTAGAATATTAAAATGACCCCTTCGCCACATCTGCTCGTCTTCTGTGGAGTTTTACGGCAGTGTGCATGCAGTGTTGTGTAGTTTATTTTGGGGTGCATGTGCGTCGTCACAGCTCAACCATTAGAATACAAGAATGCGCCCAACTCGCGCGCATGGGGGGGTGACGTATTAATCGCGCGAATCAACGATTCAATAAACCAATTCGTTGCAACGCTTTTTACTAATCGATTTTTTAACTGTTTTATCCGAGTTGTTGTTGCAGCCCTACTGTATCTGAACAACGGTATAAACATATTTTCATCAGTTTTGTACAATAGAGTGCAACTCTTTTAACCTTTTAGCATTATTTGTGTGATTCGAAGCTAATTACGTGTTGGGCAGTTAGCTAAAACTCTATTGATATCATTAAAGTGGCTAACAAGGCTAATTGGATTGGGCGATTATAAACGGTAGGCGATATAAATTTGGCCACACGGTTAGAGGATTTTGTGTATTACGGATATTGCGATGTAGGTCATTATGTCATCAAATTGCGCGCAGGCTCTGAAGCCAGCAGAATAGACACATAAACAAACCGGCATTATGCAGAATTAGCCTAGCTAGCATTAGCCCTAGCACATTAGATAGCTGCATTAGCCTGGCAGACACAATGGAAACAGCGAATAACAGCACGGCATTAACACCGTGTTTCTGGTCCCTGTATTGTTGTCTCAGCGGCCCCAGCAGAGTAAATAAACACACAGTAATCAGTGTAAGAGTCTAAATTTTGGCCAATCAGTGTCAAAGGGGCGTTGGCGTCGAAGAGCCAGTGTGAGCCAAATAGATCCATGCGTGTTGCAGTGTTCGCAGCATCATCACATCATGAAGTTTGGGGAATGTTAGAGTATGTTGTAGACCTCGAGGTCAAATAGAATCACGAATGTTACTTTGTTTAAAACAAAGGCTATTGCTGCTCAAAATGACCATTTACTTCAATTGTTCAAAATCCAATGTGGTTTTAAATGATCATAATCAAGTGAATCATCCTGTTCCACTGCATAGTGATGAGGATATGCACGTAGGGAGAGTAAACTTATGTCAAGGACCTGATTGGTATAAGAACATAGCGTTTACTGATGTAGATGCTCTAGAACTTAAATGGGTCAATTTTATTTTGGTAATAGGGAGTAAGATTCTGGAATTGTGTTTTCACACTTTGGGTGTTTTTTATTTTTTAATAGGAATTTGTTTGTTGTGGGGGTGTAGTTTTGAGGTGCTTGTTAAGGTAGGGGCGGTAGGGTTATGTTTAGTTGGGTTGGTATTTATGGTGGGTATATAGTTTTTTGTGTGGTGTATGATGAGTTGAGTGTTTGGATTGGTTATTGAGGGTTATTTGGGTGGATTGTTAATGAAAGTGAAAGTGTGGGATTTGATTGTATAATTTGTTGTCAGCTTTTGGATTGGATGGCAGTGCGACCTAAAAACAACGGATGAGAAGGAAGGAGAGCGGAGTTAGAGGAGAAAAAAAGAGAGAGAGAAGGAAGAACGAAGGGAGAGCGAGAGAGAAGAAAAAAAAAGGTTAGAGGGAGTAGAGTAGGAGGGAGGGAGAGGAAGAAGAGGTGAAAGTAGGAAGTGGGTGGAAGAGGGAAAGAAAGAAGGGAGGGTGAAAGGAGAGAGAGAAGTGAGTAGGAAAGAAGGAGGAGAGAGAGATATAGAAGTAAACGGGAATGAGAGAGAGGAGGGAGGGGAGAGGCGGGGGAGTAGAGCAGAGAAGAGGAAGAAGGAAAGAGAGAGAGGTAAGGGGAGAAAGAGAGACGTGAAAAGAGTGAGAGAAGGGTAGGGGAAGTTAGGAGGAGGAGAAGGTGGCGCGAAAGAAGCAAGCGAGCGAGCGAAAGAGAGGGAAGGAAAGGAAAAAGGCAAGGAGAGGGAAAAGGAGGTAGGAGGGGAGAGGGGGAGTGGAAGGATGAGGAGAAAAGAAAGAGAAAGGAGAGAAATGGAAGAAGAAAGAGACAAGTAAAGAAGGGGATGAGGGAACAGGACGAAAGGGAGAGAGGGGGAGGGCGGGAAAGACAGGGACTAAGCCGGAGAAAGAAAAGATGCAAGAAGAAGGGGAGTAGAAAAAAAAGAGAGAGATGAGAGACGAAGAGGGAGAAAAGAAAGAGGGGGGGGGAACTAGAGGGGTTGAGAGTAAGAAGGAGGAGAAGAGAAGAGAAAAAAGGGGTGAAGGCGAAGAGAGAGAAGAAGAGAGGAGAGAACCGGAGGTAGAGAGAGACAGGAAGGGGAAAAAGAAAGAAAACGAGAAGAGGGAGGCAAGAGAGGGGGGAGGTTAAGACAAGAGCAGGAGGGAGAAATGAGAGGAGAGGAGCAGAGAGGAAGGGATAAGTGAGGCGAAAGAAGAAGAAGAAGGAGGAGAAGTTGAGGAGTAGCAAAAAAGGAATAGAAAGGAGAAGAGCGGAAAGGAGGGGAAGGAATGAGGAGAGTTGGAGGGAAAGGAGGGAGAGGAAAAAAAGGGGAGAGTAGAAAAAGGAGAGAACAGAGAAAGGGGGGACCAGGGAGTAAGAAGTAAAAAGGGAAGGGAGAGGAGGAAGGAGGGGGAAGACAGAGAGGAGAAGGGCAAGAGAGAAATAGTCAAGTAGATTGGGAAGGAAGGAGCGAGAGAGTATGGGGACAGGACTGTGTGAGAGGAGAAGTAGGAGGGAAAGAAAGAGGTAAGGGGGGGTCAGAAGGAGACGGAGACGAGGAGAGAGAAGAAGACAAAAGAGACGAAAGAGAGAGAGGGAGGCGAAAGGAAGGGGTAAAGGGAATGAAGGACGCGAGACGTGTAGGGTGAGTAAAGGTAGTGCAAGACGGAGGAGAGTCGGTGGACGGAGTAGGCCAGACCGGGGATCAAGGGTCCATGAGGTCGGTAGACCAGCGAAGACAGATGGGAGGGTGGGTGGGGTGAGAGATGCGAACGAGGGAGGGGAAAGCTGAAGGAAGAGTAGAAGGAAGGAGGAAAGGCGCAGGAGAGATAAAGGGGAGGGACGAGGAGTGAGAAAAGGAAGTGAGGAAGGGGAAGGAGGAGAGGAAAGGGGAGAGAGAAAGAAGAGGGTTTAGGGAAGAGGGAGCGAGAAGAAGAAGGAGAAGGGCAGAGGAAGTTAGAGAGAAGAAGCGGTGGGAGAAGGAGCACGGGGTGGGTGTGAAGGAGAGGGAGGAAGAAGACAAAAGAGGAAGAAAGGAGGGAGAAAGATAATGGGAAGTTGAGGGAGGGGAGGAAGAAGCGAGTGAAAGGTAAAATAGATGAGACGTAGAAAAGAGCGAGGGGAGAGAAAGTGAGGAGTTTAAGAGGGGGGGAAAGGAGAAGAGGAGAGGTAAGGAGAGGGGAAAGAGGAGTAAAAGCAAGAGAGGAAGGAAGGAGAGGAAGGGAGAAGGGAGAGTTGGGAGGGAAGGTAGAGTGCAGAGGGGAAAGGGAAGCAAAGAGGTTAGACACAGGAAAGAGAGGAGGGAGAGAGGTGGGGAGAGAAAGTGAAAAGAATAGGGAAGCGTGGGGAAAGGAGAGAGGAAGGGAGGGGAGAAGAAGGGGGATAAGAGGAGGGGAACAGAGAGGGGTTAGGAGGAGTGAGGGTGATAGAAGGGTGTAAGTGGAAAGACGGGGTGTAGAGAAAAGGAAGGGAAAAAAAAAAGTACGGGAAGTGAGAGGGGAGAGGTAGAGAAGAGTAAAGAAGAAAAAGTGGGGGGAAGAGAAGGTGAGGAAGGAAAGCGAGGAGGCGAGGGAACAGAAGAAGGGTGGCGTAAGAGTAAGGGGGGTAAGAGAGGGGGAGGAGGGAGGACGGAGGGAGGAAAAGAGGAGAGGAAAGGGAAGATGGAAGAGAAGAAAGGAGAACAGAGAGGAAGGGGAGGTGGAGGGAGAAAGGGAAAGGGAGAAAAGGAGAGGAAGCATAGGGAGAGAACGGAGAGAAAGAAAGGGAGGTGGTAGTGAGTAAGAGGAGAGGAAGAGAAGTTAAGTAACGGAAAAAAGGTGGGTGGCTGAGAGGAGAGGAGAGAGGAAAGTGAAGGGGAGGGTAAAGAGAGAGGCACGAGGAGTGCATAGAACGTAAATAAGGCAGAGAGGGGTGGGAGGAGAAATAGTAGGGGAGAGAAAGAGAGGAAAGGGAGTGTCAGGGGGACGTTAGGTGGGCAGTGGCGGGAGGGGGAAAGGGAGTGGGAGAGAAAGAGAAACCGTAAAAAGAGAAGGGTGAAAGGATGGAAAGCGAGGAGCGAGCAGAGGAAGAAGGGAGAGAGGGAGAGAAAAAGGTGAGGAGTAGGGAGGAAAAGAGAGAGAGGAGTGTAGAGAGGCAAGCGAGAGAGAGAAGAGCAAGTTGACACGGGAGAAGAGAGGGGGAGAGTTAGAAAGACTGCACGTGGAAAGGGAGAGAAAAAAGACACGGGGGGTGAAAGGAACCGGGGCAGGATCAAGTAAACTATTGGAGTGAAGTAATGGCGCTGATCTTAATTGCAAGAGAGAAAGGCTGACGAGAAGAGAGCTAGCTCAAGTAAAGAAGACAGCGGGAAGTGGTTACGGAAAGGAGGAAGGTGATAGAAAAAGAGAGTAAGGTGGAGAGAGACAAGAGACCGGAGCAGGAGAGAGGTAGGAGGAGGGAAAAGAAGGGAAGGGCGAAGGAAAAGGGGGGGAGAGGAGAGCATAAGAGGAAGGGGGTAAGCGGAAAGGGGAGAGTGGAAGTGAACAAGAGGTAGGTAGGGAAGTGTCAAGGGGAGAGGTAGAGGCGAGAGGAGAAGAAAAGATAAAGCAAAAGGACCGAGGAAGAGAAAGAGTGAGGTAACACAGGAGAGAGAACCGAAGGGACGAGTAGTCTGACAGTTTACTTTCCTGTAGTGGTTGTCGGATACCGGCAGAGAAGAGACAAGGAAGAGACGCGAGAGGAAGGTTAGAGAAGACGAGTGAGGGAGGACGGATGGGGGAGAGGGAGGTAGGGAAAGAAAAGGGAAAATGAAGAGGACGAGTAGGGGAGAGAGAAGAGGGCCAGCGATAGGTGTAGTAGGTGGTAAAAAAGGCCTATGTCAGTCGAGTTACACGGTGTAGAGTGAGGGTTGCGCACGGCGCAGGAACGATAAAGGAGAGGAACGGGTGACAGCTGTTAGAAAGCTACCAGCGAGAAGAGAAACATCGATGAGAAGGAAGGACGAGTAACTTCGAGGAGAGATGAGATTTCCCAGCAGCGACGGAGATGAGAGGATCACCGGTTCGAATGGAGAGGAGACGGATAGGTATCGTGAAAAAGGCAGGAGTCAGCAGGGCTCAAAGGAGATTGGAAACGTGGCGGAGGGTGAGAAGACGTGATGTAGGGGAGAGACGAGAAGATGAAGGTTTTTATTGAGGAGTAGGGGAATTTAGAAGTAGAAGGGAGGGTAAGGCGAAAGTAAGATCGAGAAGAAAAAGAAGTGAGAGAGGTGAGAAGTAGGTAGAAAGTTGGGGTAAGAGGGAAAAACGAGGAAAAGAGGAGACGGGATAGGAGCGCAAGCTGGGAACTGTAGAGAGGGTGGAAACGTATTGATGAGGGACCGGGGTAGGGGAACGAGGGGAGGGAACGGAGGGCAGAACAGGAGCAGGCAAGGGAAAGGGGGAGAGTATGGGATAGGCCGTGAGAGCAGGTAAGAAGCAGCGCAGACAGGAGACGAGAGAAATGGGAGGAAAAGAAGAGGCAGAAGGGGTAGAGGAAGAGAGAGGTAGGGGAACGAGGGAGAGAAGAGAGAGACGAGGGAGGAGGGAATAAGAAAGGTTAGTGGGAGAGAGGAAGAAGAAAGGAGGTAAGAAAAGAGAAAGAAAGGAAAGATAAAGTGAAAGGAGAAGAAGGAGGAGAATGGGAGAAGAAGGTGAAGGGAAGAAAGGAAGAGGAGGAGGGAGAGAGAGGAGATGAAAGGAGCATCGGGAAGCAAGGAACGAACGGAAAGAGGTGTCAGGAGGGGAAGAGAGAGAGAATGGAAGGGAGGGAAGGAAGGATGAGATAAGAAGGAGAGAAAAGAGGCAAGGAGGAAGAAGAGGTGGCGAGAAGTGAGAGAAGAGAGTGAAGAAGAGAAGACGGAGGAAGAAAGGGAAAGAAGAAGACGTTGAAGAGGCAAGAGAGAACAGAGAGGAGAGGGAGAGGAGCGAGAGGTAGAAGAAAGGAAGAATCAGTAGGGGTAAGGGAAGAGGAAGGAGGAGGAGAGAAAGAGCAGAGGAGAGAAAGAGTAGAGAGGAAAGAAGAGAAGGAGAGGGGGGGGGAAAGAGAAGAATGAAGAGTGAAACGGAAAGGAGAGAGGTAGAGGGGGAGATAAGAAAGGGGGAGAGACGAGAGTGAGAAGAAGCAGTAACGAGGGGTAAAGAGTAGGAGAGAGGAAAGGTAAGAAGAGGTGAGAAGGGTAGTTAGGAGAGGGAGAGACAATGGCAGGAGAGAAGGGGGAAGATGGGGGGGAAGAGATAACAGGAGGGGGTCAAAGAGGGACAGAGAGGAACGTGAGAGAAGAAGGAGAAGGATAGGAGAAAAAGAAGAAGGGAAGAGAACGGAAAAGGAAAACGGGGAGGGTGGTAAGAAGGAAGAGAAGAGGAAGAAGTAGAGGAGGGAAGGATCGAAAGGAGAGAGGAGTGAGAAGGGAAGAGAAAGGGAGAGAGGGAGAAAGGGAGAAGGTACAAGGAAAGGAGAACGAGGAGGGAGCAGGAAAGGGGAGAAAGAGAGAGAGGAGTCGTGGGGGTGAGAAGGGGGAGGGGAGGAGAAAGAAAGCCGAGGGAGAAAGGAGAGGGAGGAAAGGAAAGAAAGAAGGCGAAGGGGAGAGAGATGGAAAAGGAAGAGGAGGGAAGGATGAGTAGGAAGGGGGGAGAAGGGAAAAGACGGGTAGGGAAAAAGTAGGGGTAAGGAAGAGGAAAGAGAGAGAGCAGAAAGGAGGAGAGAAGGCGGGAGAGGGAGCGATGAAGGACTGGGGAAGAGGAAAAGAAGAAGTAGGAGTAGGGGAGAAGAGAAAAGGGTAGAAGGAAAAGCAAAAGGAGTAGAGAGAAGAATTGGGGGGGAGAAGGTGAAGCGAAGTATGGGGGAAGGAAGAAAGAAGGAAGAGGGGGAGAATGGAAGAGAGGAAGAAAGAGAGTGGGAGGATGAGAGAAAGTGAGAGAAGATAGGAGAAGATCGAAAAAGGGGAGAGGGGAGGAGGTGAAGGAGGCAGGGTAGGGGAGGAGGGAAAGGGTAGGAAAAAAGAAGAAGGAAGAAAAAGGAAGAGGTAAGAAGGGCGAAGAGAGAAAGAAAGAAAAAGGGGGAGAGGGAGAAAAAAGAAGGAGTATGGGAGTCGGGAGGATAGAAAGGAAGGAAAAAGGAGGAAAAGGAAAGGAAAGAAGGGAGGAGAAAGGAGAGAATAGGGAAAGGGAGAAAAGAAAAGGGGGAAGAAACAGAGGGGATAGCGGGGTAGAAGAGCGAGAAAAGAGTGAGAAGAAGAAGAGAGAGGGGAAAGGAGGAAGAAAGGAGAGAGGAAATAGAGGTTGAGGAAAGAAGAACGGAGGAGGGAGAGAGTAGGAAGAGAGTGAAGAAGAGTGAGAAGGAGGAGGAGAGGAGTAGAGGAGGATGGGGGGCGGGAAGGAAAAGTGATAAATAAGGAGAAAGCGGAAGAGAGGAAGTAAGAAGAAGGAGAAGAGAGAGAGAGAGAGCGGGACAGTTTTGTTTTCTTTATAAAACAACAAGGGAGTGGGGAGAAGAACAAAGAAGAGTAGGAGGGTGGAGAAGAGAGTAAGAAGAAGAAAAAGGGAGAGAGGGAGGAAAGACAAAGAGAAGTGGGTAGGGGTAGAGGAGGCGAAGAGGAAGAGAAAGAGGGCGGAGGTGAAGGAAGGAATGAGGGTCGAGGGAGAGGTGAGAAGAGAGAGAGAGAACGTACAGACACAAAAGAAGAGGAAGAGTAGTAGAGAGAAAGAGTAGAGTAGATAGGGAGAACGAGAGGAGGAGGAAGAGGAGAGAAGGGGGGAGGGAAGATGAGAGAAGGGAGGAACAGGGAGGAAGAGCAGAGAAGAAAGAAAGAGGAGAAGAGTGCGGAGGAAGAGGAAGACGGATTAGAGAGAAAGAGGAGCGAAAGAGGAGAGAAAAGCAGGGCGGAGAAAGAAAGGAAAAAGGAGGAAGACGAGAAAGGGAAAGGGAAAGCGGCGGGAGAGCAGTAAAAAAGGCAGACTGGAGGAAAAAGTGAGAAGGAGAGGATAAGACGTAGAGAAGAAGTGAGGGCGTGGGAGGGAAGAGAAGTAAGAGGAGAATAACAGTCAGGAGCGATGTAGGAGGAGAAGGGAGGAAGAGAAAGAAAGCAAAAGGAAAGGGAGGAGAATATGAAGAGTACAAGAGAAGAAAAGGACAGAGGAGAGGGAAGTGAGAGGAGAAGAAGAGTGAGTAGAGGAGAGAGTAGTGTAGAGAAAAGAGAAGTAGGGGAAAAGAGAGAGAGAGAGGGGAGGGGGGAGCGGCGAGGGGAGCGAGAGTACGATGGAGAGAAGGAAATGGAACGAAAGAGAGAGAAGGGAGGGTGGGAAGAGAAAGGAAGGAGAGAAGGGGAGAGTAGGGGAGGAGAGAAGAAACGTAGGAGTTGGTCGAAGACAGAAGAAGTGAAGATGGAGGAAGTAAGAGGAGGGAAGTAGGAGAGAGGAAAGATAAGAGGTGGGTAACAGCGAGAGGAAAGGTTAAGGAGGACGAGAGGAACGGAAGAAAGGGAAGGGAAGAAAGGAGGGATAAAAGAAAAAGAGAGGGGAAAAGGAAGAGGAAGAGCGAGCAGAAACGAAGGAGAAGAGTGAAAGAGCGAGAGATTTAGTGAGGAGGGCTCAAGAGAGTGAAAAGGATGTAAGAAAGACGGGAGAAAAGTAAGAAGAGGAAAGAGAAGAGAGGGAAGAGGGGAATCAAGCGGGAAGGGTAGAGAGGCGTAGGGGGTAGAGGGAAAAAGAGGAGGAGAGAATAGGGAGAGGGAGGGGGAAGGAGAGGGGAGAGAGTCAAAGAACGGAAAAAAGAAAGGAGAAAGAAGGGATGAAGAGGAAACAGGGAAAAGAGAGGAGGAGAGAGAGAAAGAGGAGGAGGAGGGGAGAGAAGGAGAAAAGACAGAATAGAGGAGAGGAAGGATGAGAAGTGTGAGAGGAGGTTAAAGAGAAGGTAGGGAAAGAAGGGAAAGGAGAAGCCGAGGAAGAGAAGTCGGAAGGGAAAAGGGAGGAAGAGAGGGGAGGAGAGAGACGGGGAGGAGAAAGAAGGGGAGAGAGGGGCGAGGGGAAAAAAAGAAGGAGGAAAGAGGGGAAGGGAAGAGAGAGGAGTAAAAAGGGAGTAGGGAGGGAAGGATGGAGAGAGAAGAGGTAAAGGAATAGAAGGGAGTGAAGGGGGGAAGAAGAGTAAAAAGAGAGGGAGGAAGAAGAGAAAGAGAGGTAAGGAGAGAGAAAAGGGCACGAGGGTAGAAGAAGGGTGAAGGAGGAAGAGCGGTGATTGGAGTATGAAGGGAGAGGTAAAGGGCACGAAGAAGTAGGAATAGGAAGAAGTGAAAGGAGAAAGAGGGAGAATGGGGAGAAGAGAGAAGGAGATGGAAAGAAAAGGGAGAGAGGGACCAGAGGAAAAAAAAATGAGAGAGAGGGCGAAAGGGGAGGGAACAGGGGAATGGGAAGGAGAGAAGAAGATAAGGAGATGGGGGACGGGGAGAACGGTGAGAGAAAGGGAAAGGAAGGGGACACAGAGGGAGAAGGACGAAGAAGTGAAGGTAGAGAGGAAGAAGAGAGAGGAGTGGAAAGGGGGAGGAGGAGAGGGTCAGAGTAAGAAGGAGAAGAAGGAGGAGTAGATAGAGAAGAGGCAGGAAGGGAGATGAGAGAAGATGAGAGAAGAAGCGAAGAGGAGAGGGGAAGAGCGGAGGGAGTAGAAATGAGGAAGAGGAGAGAGGCGTGGTAAGAGGGGGAAGAGAGGGAGCAGAGAAAAAGGCGAAGAGAAAAAGAGTAGAGGGTGGAGGGAACAGGGAGGGGGAGAAAAGAAAGAAAATGAAAAGGGAAGAGAAAGCTGAGGGAGGAGGATGGAAGGGAGAGATGGGTGGGGAAGAGGGGGAACAGAAGAGGCGAAGAAAGGAGACAAGAGTGGGGAGAGAAAGAGAGAATGAGGAGAGGAAGAAGGAGAGAAGGAGAGAGAAGTAGGAGAAAAAGAGGGGGAGAGAAGGATAACGGAAAAAGATGGGACGTTAGAGTGAGAGAAAGAAAGAGAAGAGAAAGGAGAAGAAGAGTAAGGGGGAGGACAGAGAGGACAGGTGGGGAGTGAGGGAAGAGAGAAGATAGAGAAGGAAGGACGGCAGGAGAAGGGAAAAAAGAGAAGGAGAGAGAAGAAGTAGGAGAGAAGAGGAGTAAGAGAGAAGAAGTTAAGGAGGGTAAGAAGAGGGAGAAGGTTAATAGAGAGAAAGGCGAAAAAGGGGGGTAAGGGAGTGCGAGAGCAGAGGAAGGAGTTAAAGAAGGAAGGGGAGGGGAATAGGTGGAGCAGAGAAAAGAAAGGAAGTTAGAGAGAAGTTAGGAGGTCGAAGGGAGAATGAGGGAAAGAAAGAAGAGAGAGGGGCAGGGGAGGGGAATGAGAAAGAGAGAGGAGAGAGCAGGAAGAAAAAAGGAGGAGGGAGGTAGATAAAGTAGTAAAGAAGAAGGGGAATGGGAAAGGGGAAGGGGAGAAGAAGGATAGGAAGAAGAAAGGTAAGAGATGAGTGGGGGGTGAGGGGGGGGAGGAGGAGGAAAGTAGAGGGGAGAGGGGATAAGAGAGAGAGGGGAGGGAGGAGAGAAGAGTAAGAGAAGGAGCGAGGGGAGAGAGTAGAGGGGAGAAGAGAGTGAAGAGGAGGAAGAGTGGAAGAGAGGGGAGGGAGGGGAGAGAAAGAAGGGGGGGAGAGAGGTAAGGGGAAAGAGGGAAAGAAGGCGGAAAGCACAGAGGGGCGGGAAATAGAGGAGAGAGGAGGAAGGAGGGGAGAGAGAGAGAGGAGGGAAGAGAAGGAGCGACACAGAAGAAGGAAGAAAGGGAGAGGAGAAGAAGAAAAACGCGGGTGGAAGGGAGAGGAGAACGAGAAGAGTGAGGGAAGAAAAGGAGAGGAGGGAGAAGGGAGAAAGAGACAAGAAGAAGAAAGAAGAGGAGAGAGGAGTAGAAAAGGAAAGGTAGAGAAGGGGGCGTAAAGGGAGTAGTAGCGGCAGGGGAAAGAGGCGGAGATGGGAGAGAGGAAAGGACCGGAAAAGAGGGAAAAAGAGAAGAGAGAGGAGAAGATAGGGGAGAGGGAGGTAGAAGAGGAAGGAGGAGTGGGAGGAGAAAAGGAGGAAAAAAGAAGAAGGTGAGGGAGGGAGAGAAAGAGGAAGAAGAAGGAGGAGCGAAGAGGAGAAGGAAAAAGATAGACAGAGGGAGAAAAGGGAGAGAGAGAGGGACAGAAACGAAGCAGCGGGAAGAAGAAAGAGTTGGGGAAGAGAGGTGAGCAGGAGAGGGAAAGAAGAGGAAGACGTGGGGAGAGAGGGAGGGGAGAGCGACAGATACGAAGAGAGAGGACGGAGAAGAGAGGAGGAGGAGGAGCGGGAGGAGAAAAAGAGTAGACCGGAGAAATAAAGAAGGAGGAGGAAGGGGAAGGAAGAGAGAGGGAAGAGAGGGAGGAAAGGAGACGAGGGAGAGGAAGAGAATAATGAGGAGACGAAAAGAAAGGTAAGGTGGAAAGATAACGGAAAGTAAGAGAAGGAGACGAGGGGTAGTGGCGAAGGAAGAAAAGTGTGGAGGAGAGCGAGAGTTAGAGAAATGAAGGAACAAGGGGAGGAACAGTAGGGGTATAGAGGGAGGAGGAAAAGTAGGACTGAAAAACTGCGCGGAGAGCAAGAGACGGAAGGAAGGACGGGAGCGAAGGAGAAAGGAAAGGAGAGGAGAAAGCCGCGAGAAGAGGGAAGGTAGAGGGATTGCAGCAGGTGTAGGACCCCCTCTGTACCGGCGGTAGCGGCAAAGTCTTCTACCTTCTCTTTTTTTCCCTCCCTTTCCCTCTTTCCTTCTTACATTTTTTTCCTCTTTCTCTCTAACACTCTCTCCTCCCCTCTTCCTACTCTCTCTCTTTCTTCTCCTCTTCCTCTCTCTCTCCCTTTCTCTTTCTCTACTCCTCCTTCCATCTCTTTTCTTTCTTACCCTCTACCTCTTTCCTTATCTATCTTCTCTTTTTATATGTTTTCTCTCCTCCCCTTCCTCCTTTTCCCCTTCCCCCCTTCCTAACCCCTCTTCCTCTCTCCTCTTTCCCCCTTTTTATTTTTCTTCTATCCTCTTCTCCCCTATCCTTCCCCTCTCTCTTTTCTTCTTAATTCCTCCTATCCTCTACCTTTTCTTTTCCTACCTTCTTTTCCCGCCCTCTTCCCCTTCCTCTTCTCTTCTCTCCCCTTTTCTTTCTTCCCCTCTTTTCTCTTTTCTCCTCCTTATCCTAACTCTCTCTTTTTCTCTTTTCTTTTTCTCCTCCTTTCTTCCTCATCTCTTCTCCCATCCCTCTCCCCTACTCTCCCCTTCCTCTCTTCTATTCCTCTCTTTTCTTCCTTCCTTCCTCTCCTCCCTCTCTCCTTCTCCTCTCTCTCCTCTAGTCCCCTTCTTCTCTTCTCTCCCTTTACTCTTTTTTCCCTTTCTTTCTTCTTTTCTCCCTTATCTCTCCTTCTCACCTCTTCCTATCTTTATACCCTCCTCTCTCTCTTCTACCTCTCTTCTTTTTTCTCTCTCCCCTCACCCTCTTTTTTCTCTCTTCTCTTTCCTCTCCATCTCCTTATCTACGTTCTTTTCCTCCTCCTCTTATCTCATTCCTCTTCCTCTTTCTCAACTTTCCTCATCTTTTTCCATCCTACCTCTTCTTTTCTTCTTCCTTTCTTAACATATCTCCACTTCCTCTTCCCTATCCTTTCCCCTTCTTTACTTTCTATTTTACCCATCTTTACTCCCTTCTACTCTCCTCCTTACCTAATCTCTCTGTTTCCCTCTTTCCCTCCCCTCTTCCCTTTACATCCTTTACTTCTCTCATACCTAATTTCCTTCTCCCTCTCCTTACCTTCACCTTCTCTTATCTCCCTCTCTTTTATCCTCTTACTAAAATTATCTTTTTTTCCTCTTTTTTCGCACATCTCCATCCTTCTCATTTGCTCCTATTCTAATCATATCCTTACCTTCCCTTTGTCCTTCCTCATACTTCTCTTCTCTCTACATCTTATCTGCTCCTCCCCTTTACTTCATTTTTCTCCCTTCGCTACATATAAGACTCTCTATCCTTCATATCATTACTTTCTTCCCTAATCCCTCTTTCTTAATACCTTCCTTTTTCTTAATCATCTTTACTACCACATCCCTCTTCTTTCCTCAGCTATTTTCCACTCATGTTATTATAATGATCCGTATCATCTCACCGCGACTTCCTTTAACGACTATTACCTATCAACTTATACACACCTCTCTTCTTTCTTTTCCTCCCTCTTACGTAATCTCTACCTCTTCCTCTTACTTTCTTTATCTCATCTCTTTCCTTCTCTCCCTACATTACCTAATCTCATTCTCTCTTATCATTTCTTTCTTCCTTGTCTTCTCTCACTTCTTTTCATCTTGTTTTTTCTCTTCCTTTTCCTACTTTTCTCATCTCCTCTCTCACTCTCTTTATTTCCACTTCTCCCCCCTTTTTCCTTCTCCTTTACTATTTCCTCTCTCTCCTCCTTTATACTTCCGCTCTTTTCTCTTTCTTCTCCTTATTCTTTCCCTTCTCTCTTCTCTCTCTCCCTTTACCTTTATATCTCCCTACTTTCTCTTTCTTCTTGCTTACTCCTTTCTCCCCCTCTTCTTTTTCTTCTCTCTCCTCTCCTATCCTCTTCCATTTACTCCCCCTCTATACTCTCCTTCTTTCTCTCTGTCTTCTCTCGCTTCCTTCATATTTCTTTCTCCTTCTCATACTTTTACCCCTCTCACCTCTTCTCTTCTCTACATTTCCATCTCTTTCTATCCTCTCTCTTTCCTTTCCTCATGTCTCTCTTTTACTCTCCCCCATCCTTCTCTAACTTTCACTTCTCTTTCTTTTCTAACCTTTTCCTTTCCTCCCCCCCTTCCTCTTTTTTCCACTCTCCTATATACTCGCCATACATTCTTTCATCTCTGAATCCATTTTGTAACACACTCCCTCTCTTTATCAAATCCATCCTCTTCCCATTCTCTCTCTACTCCTTCCGCCATCTCTACTTCTTATTCTCTCCTCTTTTTCTCTCTCTTCTACTCTTTTTTTGTCGTTCTCCTCTATTAATACTTTCCTATCTATCTCTTCCACTATTCTCCTTTTTCTTCTCTCTCTACTCTTCTCTTCCTTCCTCCATCTATCCCTTTCTCCTTTTTCTCTTTACCATTACTCCTTCTCTCATTCTCCCTCTTCCTCTATCCTCTTCCCTCCTTCGCTTCTCCTCTTTCTCCACCCGTCTATCTTATTCTCTCCTCCTATCTTTTTATAACTCTCTCTCTTCCCTTCCTTTTATCCTACATCTTTTTATTCTATTCTTCACTTCCCTTACTTCTTCTACCTCTACCTCTCTATCTTACCACCCTATTTGTAATTCACGTTCCTTTCTTCTTATATATATCTCTTTCTCGCACCCACCCTATTATTTTTCCTACCTCTCCTTTACGTTTTCTCTATCCTTTACTTATCCTCTTCTATAATTCCTCCTTCGCCTTCTACTCTTTCTTATCTCTATCATCTCCTCTCATTTTTTCCTTCACTTCCTTTACATGTTTTCGTCTCTCTGTGTCCTGCACTATCCTGGGATCAGCACAGAGTCAGGGACCAGCACCTCACAGCCATATCTCTATATAATAACAGACGTAGTCACACCTATCTCCGCCGTTCTAACTAATGAGCCAAAAATTAGGCTTTCTTGGGCAGTGATTCAAAATGGCCGCGGGGACTGGAAAATGTGAAAAAACGCATCTGCGCATGCGTCAGTCGGCACGAGCCCCATTCATTTAAACAAGTGACTTCAAAAGTCCACAGCGACTAAACTAGACTGGTCCAGAACACCCCCCTCAGCATTGACACACATGTGGAACGGAGCTTTGGGCCAAGAGCCAAGTTTTGGACCATCCTGTAAAGACGTTTTCGAGAGGTCTGCTAATGCTATATGTTAGCATTGGCTAATTCTTATTCCGGGTCCACCCCCCACAGGCCCGGGGTGGTATTGCAGCACGTCAGCGCATGTCATTTTGGCCACTTTTGAGCCGGGACCCGCCCCCACTGGTCACAGCACAGACACCTCACAGGACAGAGACCTCTGGAGCAGAGGAACTCCAGTGGAGCTCTTGCTCAACATCGGAGTAAAGGACGCCGTCATTTACTTACTGCAGTGGACGCTCTCCCACCTGGAGCCTGCAGGGGGCGCTGTGAGGGTCATGTTTTCGACTTCTCCAGTGCTTTCAACACCATCAGTCCGGCACTGCTGCGGGAGAAGATGGAAGACGCGGGAGTGGACAGGAACCTCACTGCATAGAACCATCAACTACCCCAACCAGTAAGGCCAATGAGATGGTACCTGTGCTAACACCAGTAAGACCAAGGAGATGGTCCTCAATTTCAGGAGAGAATTGCTTTCCCACAAGCTGCTGAACATCCAGGGGGAGGACATTGAGCTGGTGGACAGCTTCATCTTGACTAGTCTCCCAGTTCCTGCCACTGAAAAACATCCCCACAGCATGATGCTACCACCACCATACTTCACTGTAGGGATGGTATTGGCTTGGTGATGAGCTGTGCCTGGTTTCCTCCAAACATGACGCCTGGCATTCACGCCAAAGAGTTCAAAGCAGCAGAAATGTTTCTGTACCCTTCCCCAGACTTGTGCCTCGAGACAATCCTGTTTCGGAGGTCGACACACAATTCCTTTGACTTCATGCTTGGTTTGTGCTCTGACATGTACTGTCAACTGTGGGACCTTATATATACAGGTGTGTGCCTTTCTGTGGGACCTTATATATACAGGTGTGTGCCTTTCTGTGGGACCTTATATATACAGGTGTGTGCCTTTCTGTGGGACCTTATATATACAGGTGTCTGCCTTTCTGTGGGACCTTATATATACAGGTGTGTGCCTTTCTGTGGGACCTTATATATACAGGTGTCTGCCTTTCTGTGGCACCTTATATATATACAGGTGTCTGCCTTTCTGTGGGACCTTATATATACAGGTGTCTGCCTTTCTGTGGGACCTTATATATACAGGTGTGTGCCTTTCTGTGGGACCTTATATACAGTGCCTTGCGAAAGTATTCGGCCCCCTTGAACCTTTCAACATTTCGCCACATTTCAAGCTTCAAACATAAAGATATAACATTTTAATTTTTTGTCATGAATCAACAACAAGTGGGACACAATCGTGAAGTGGAATGAAATTTGTTGGATAATTTAAACTTTTTTAACAAATAAAAAACTGAAAAGTGGGGCGTGCAATATTATTGGGCCCCTTTACTTTCAGTGCAGCAAACTCAGTCCAGAAGTTCAGTGAGGATCTTTGAATGATCCAATGTTGTCCTAAATGACTGATGATGATAAATAGAATGCACCTGTGTGTAATCAAGTCTCCGTATAAATGCACCTGCTCTTTGATAGTCTCAGGGTTCTGTTTAAAGCGCAGAGAGAACCATGAAGACAAAGGAACACACCAGGCAGGTCCGAGATACTGTTGTGGAGAAGTTTAAAGCCGGATTTGGATACAAAAAGATTTCCCAAGCTTTAAACATCTCAAGGAGCACTGTGCAAGCAATTATATTGAAATGGAAGGAGTATCAGACCACTCCAAATCTACCAAGACCCGGCCGTCCTTCCAAACTTTCATCTCAAACAAGGAGAAGACTGATCAGAGATGCAGCCAAGAGGCCCATGATCGCTCTGGATGAACTGCAGATAACTACAGCTGAGGTGGGGATGGTGTGTTCAGGGTGATGAGCTGTGTTGCTTTTACGCCAAACATATCGTTTTGCATTGTGGCCAAAAAGTTTGATTTTGGTTTCATCTGACCAGAGCACCTTCTTCCACATGTTTGGTGTGTCTCCCAGGTGGCTTGTGGCAAACTTTAAACCAGACTTTTTATGGATATCTTTGAGAAATGGCTTTCTTCTTGCCACTCTTCCATAAAGGCCAGATTTGTGCAGTGCACGACTGATTGTTGTCCTATGGACAGACTCTCCCACCTCAGCTGTAGTTATCTGCAGTTCATCCAGAGTGACCATGGGCCTCTTGGCTGCATCTCTGATCAGTCTTCTCCTTGTTTGAGATGAAAGTTTGGAGGGACGGCCGGGTCTTGGTAGATTTGCAGTGGTCTGATACTCCTTCCATTTCAATATAATTGCTTGCACAGTGCTCCTTGAGATGTTTAAAGCTTGGGAAATCTTTTTGTATCCAAATCCGGCTTTAAACTTCTCCACAACAGTATCTCGGACCTGCCTGGTGTGTTCCTTTGTCTTCATGGTTCTCTCTGCGCTTTAAACAGAACCCTGAGACTATCAAAGAGCAGGTGCATTTATACGGAGACTTGATTACACACAGGTGCATTCTATTTATCATCATCAGTCATTTAGGACAACATTGGATCATTCAAAGATCCTCACTGAACTTCTGGACTGAGTTTGCTGCACTGAAAGTAAAGGGGCCCAATAATATTGCACGCCCCACTTTTCAGTTTTTTATTTTTTTTTAAAGTTTAAATTATCCAACAAATTTCGTTCCACTTCACGATTGTGTCCCACTTGTTGTTGATTCATGACAAAAAATTAAAATTTTATATCTTTATGTTTGAAGACTGAAATGTGGCAAAATGTTGAAAGGTTCAAGGGGGCCGAATACTTTCGCAAGGCACTGTATACAGGTGTGTGCCTTTCTGTGGGACCTTATATATACAGGTGTGTGCCTTTCTGTGGGACCTTATATATACAGGTGTGTGCCTTTCCTTTCTGTGGGACCTTATATATACAGGTGTGTGCCTTTCTGTGGGACCTTATATATACAGGTGTGTGCCTTTCTGTGGGACCTTATATATACAGGTGTGTGCCTTTCTGTGGGACCTTATATATACAGGTGTCTGCCTTTCCAAATCAAGTCAAAACAACTGAATTTACCAGTCCACCTGTGGACTCCATTGAAGCAGTAGAAGCATCTCAAGGATGATCCGTGGAAACAGGATCCACCTGAGCTCAACTTTGAGCTTCATGGCAAAGGCTGTGAATACTTATGTACATTTGGTCTCTTCGTTTTTATTATTAATACATTTGCAAGAATCTCCCCCAAAAAAAAATTCATGTTGTTGTTTTGGGGTTTTATGTGTAGAATTGTGAGGAAAAAATTAATCAATTTTGGAATAAGGCTGTAACATAACAAAATGTGAAGACCACAGTTATATAAAAGAACCATGGAGGACCACAGTTATATAAAAGAACCATGGAGGACCACAGTTATATTAAAGAACCATGGAGGACCACAGTTATATAAAAGAACCATGGAGGACCACAGTTATATAAAAGAACCATGGAGGACCACAGTTATATAAAAGAACCATGGAGGACCACAGTTATATAAAAGAACCATGGAGGACCACAGTTATATAAAAGAACCATGAAGGACCACAGTTATATAAAAGAACCATGGAGGACCACAGTTATATAAAAGAACCATGGAGGACCACAGTTACCTGTATATCTCCTGCTTCTTTGATCATCATAGTTTTAAGCTCTCACAGACATTATTCCTCCATGTGTCTCTTCTCTTCACACCGCGTTTGTAAAACTATATATTAAAATAGATCCATGGTAAAACTATATATTAAAATAGATCCATGGTAAAACTATATATTAAAATAGATCTATGGTAAAACTCAGTGCAGCCTCTGTACAGCGTGTGCCGCGTCTGAACGCTGTGATGTTTACATGTCGCCTCCACGCGACTGTCAAGTGCCTGAGACGTTTGGAGAGATCCGGTAATTTATCAAACTAAAGTATTCTTCCCTTGGCAGTCTGGTGAATGACCATTCACCATACTGAATGGTGAATCAGGAGCACTGTCAAAGACACATCTTTTCCATCAAAGGCCTCCGTAGTACCCTGGACTGCAATATAAGATCTCAACACTAGATGGCAGTAAAAATTACACAGTGTACCTATAAAGAACCCTCACAGTGACTCTTAGTCTTTTACATCAACAGCTGACGATCGACACCTGGTTTTAGACGTTTTTAAAGACTATTTATTATGATTTTGATATTCTCTCCTCTTCTGTCTCCTCCTCTGTTTCTTCCTCTCTCTTCTCCTCTGTCTCCTTCTCTGTTTCTTCCTCTCTCTTCTCCTATCTCCTCTGTCTAATCTTCTGTCTCTTCCTCTCTCTCTCCTCCTCTGTCTCTTCCTCTCTCTCCTCCTCCTCTCTCTCCTCCTCTGTCTCCTCCTCTGTCTCCTCTCTGTCTCTTCCTCTCTCTCTCTCTCCTCCTCTGTCTCCTCTTCTGTCTCTTCCTCTCTCTCTCCTCCTGTCTCTTCCTCTCTCTCTGCTCCTCTGTCTCTTCCTCTCTCCTCCTCTGTTTCTTCCTCTCTCCTCCTCTGTTTCTTCCTCTCCCTTCTCCTGTCTCCTCTGTCTCATCTTCTGTCTCTTCCTCTCTCTCTCTCCTCCTCTGTCTCTTCCTCTCTCCTCCTCCTCTCTCTCCTCCTCTGTCTCCTCCTCTGTCTCCTCTCTGTCTCTTCCTCTCTCTCTCTCCTCCTCTGTCTCCTCTTCTGTCTCTTCCTCTCTCTCTCCTCCTCTGTCTCTTCCTCTCTCTCCTCCTCTGTCTCTTCCTCTCTCTCCTCCTCTGTTTCTTCCTCTCTCTTCTCCTCTGTCTCCCTCTCTGTCTCCTCTTCTGTCTCCTCCTCTGTTTCTTCCTCTCTCTTCTCCTCTGTCTCTTCTGTCTCATCTTCTGTCTCTTCCTCTCTCTCTCCTCCTCTGTCTCCTCCTCTTTCTCCTCTCTGTCTCTTCCTCTCTCTCTCTCCTCCTCTGTCTCTTCCTCTGTCTCCTCTCTCTCTCCTCCTCTGTCTCCTCTTCTGTCTCCTCCTCTGTTTCTTCCTCTCTCTTCTCCTCTGTCTCTTCTGTCTCATCTTCTGTCTCTTCCTCTCTCTCTCCTCCTCTGTCTCCTCCTCTTTCTCCTCTCTGTCTCTTCCTCTCTCTCTCCTCCTCTGTCTCCTCTTCTGTCTCCTCCTCTCTTTTCTCCTGTCTCCTCTGTCTCATCTTCTGTCTCTTCCTCTCTCTCCTCCTCTGTCTCTTCCTCTGTCTCCTCTCTGTCTCCTCTTCTGTCTCCTCCTCTGTCTCTTCCTGTCTCTCCTCCTCTGTCTCTTCCTCTGTCTCCTCTCTCTCTCTCCTCTGTCTCCTCTTCTGTCTCCTCCTCTCTCTTTTCCTGTCTCCTCTTCTGTCTCCTCCTCTCTCTCTCCTCCTCTGTCTCTTCCTCTGTCTCCTCTCTGTCTCTTCCTCTCTCTCTCTCCTCTGTCTCCTCTTCTGTCTCCTCCTCTCTCTTCCTCTGTCTCCTCTCTCTCTCCTCCTCTGTCTCCTCTTCTGTCTCATCTTCTGTCTCTTCCTCTCTCTCTCCTCCTCTGTCTCCTCCTCTTTCTCCTCTCTGTCTCTTCCTCTCTCTCTCTCCTCCTCTGTCTCTTCCTCTGTCTCCTCTCTCTCTCCTCCTCTGTCTCCTCTTCTGTCTCCTCCTCTGTTTCTTCCTCTCTCTTCTCCTCTGTCTCTTCTGTCTCATCTTCTGTCTCTTCCTCTCTCTCTCCTCCTCTGTCTCCTCCTCTTTCTCCTCTCTGTCTCTTCCTCTCTCTCTCCTCCTCTGTCTCCTCTTCTGTCTCCTCCTCTCTTTTCTCCTGTCTCCTCTGTCTCATCTTCTGTCTCTTCCTCTCTCTCCTCCTCTGTCTCTTCCTCTGTCTCCTCTCTGTCTCCTCTTCTGTCTCCTCCTCTGTCTCTTCCTGTCTCTCCTCCTCTGTCTCTTCCTCTGTCTCCTCTCTCTCTCTCCTCTGTCTCCTCTTCTGTCTCCTCCTCTCTCTTTTCCTGTCTCCTCTTCTGTCTCCTCCTCTCTCTCTCCTCCTCTGTCTCTTCCTCTGTCTCCTCTCTGTCTCTTCCTCTCTCTCTCTCCTCTGTCTCCTCTTCTGTCTCCTCCTCTCTCTTCCTCTGTCTCCTCTCTCTCTCCTCATCTGTCTCCTCTTCTGTCTCCTCCTCTCTCTCTCCTCCTCTGTCTCTTCCTCTGTCTCCTCTCTGTCTCTTCCTCTCTCTCTCTCCTCTGTCTCCTCTTCTGTCTCCTCCTCTCTCTTCCTCTGTCTCCTCTCTCTCTCCTCCTCTGTCTCCTCTTCTGTCTCCTCCTCTGTCTCTTCCTGTCTCTCCTCCTCTGTCTCCTCAGTCTCATCTCTTTCTCCTTTCAGTCTCCTCTCAGTCTCATCTCTGTTCTGTTTTGTTCCAGGAGAAGACGGAGCAAAGACTTTCCTCCACATTTTTCACTGAATCAGTCCATCAAGCGTTTTCTGGACTTCTTTGAAACAAACAAGGACGATCTGACCAGGTGTATTCATGAACAGACGGAAAAGATTGAGAAGAGAAATGTAGCAATGCTGACTACAGTCATTATAGGTCTAGGAGCCGTTGTAGGAGCCGTTGTAGGAGCCGCTGTAGGTGTCGCTGCTGCTCCATTCACAGGAGGACTGAGTTTGACATTGGTTGGAATCGGAGCTGCTGCTGCTGGTGCTACTGCTGGTGCTGCTGCTGTTGCTGTTGTTGATCTTGCTGTTGAATCTGTTGCAGACCTCATATTCAGAACAAACAGCAGCAGAGCAAAGAAGGAGGCAGTAAAGAAAATCAAGGCCACAAAAAGAAAGTTCATATCCACAGTGAAGCAGTTACAGACACGGGTGAACAATGTGAAGAGATGCTGCAAGCAGCTGCAGGAATACGACGCTGTGATTAAAGTTCTAACATTTAAAGTCCCCTTCCGCCAACTGAAGCCAGTTGGAGACATTAAGAGGAACTCTGCATTAAAGACTGTTGCTGCGATGGAGAAGATTCTACATGAACTTAATAAAACCAAGACTGTCTTTGAACGTGTTCTGCAACACATAAGAAGACAAGAACAGACATCATCTCTGGACTTAACCTGAAGACCTGCTTTGGATGTGAGGATTTACACGGGTCACTGACACACACCGTTCTGTGTTCAATAAGCTCACGGTTTAATAAAACAAATATATATATATATATATTAGGGCTGTCAAAATTATTGCGTTAACGCACGTGAATTAAATGTTTCATTATTGTGTTTTTTTTTTTAACGCATCAACGCATGTTCAAATGACCTGCCCATGTGTCCATAATATCACTCAGAATGACCCATGTGTCCATAATATCACTCAGAATGACCCATGTGTCCATAATATCACTCAGAATGACCCATGTGTCCATAATATCACTCAGAACAAACAACAGCAAGTGCCCCGTATCCTCTGTGTCAGCGGCCACGGAGGATGCGGGCTGAAGTCCGCATCCTCCGTGGCCGCTGACAATAACACGGAAAATGGCGCTGCGGTAACGTGATCCAAGACCATACACTCTGTGCGTAACCTGTGCACACAAACACACCGCTGAAGCTGAACTATGGAGCCTCAGGAAGTGTCCGTGTCTCCTCGCCACTAAACTAGCTAAATTTGTATGTGTATTTTATGTATTTTAATGTGTGAAGCGCTTTGTGACCCTGGTCTGTGAAATGCACTATACAAATAAACTTCACTTACTTACTTACTTAAATTAAAGCTGGGGTACGTAAATGTTCCCTTTCATTAACAGCTCATGTTGGTTTCGCCCAAAATTAAATTGTTGTGAATCAAACAGATTTAAGTACATTTGGTTTGAATGACAATGTGTCATTACATTTGATAATCTCATTTAACTTCAATTGGAGTGGATTTGAAATAGAAAGTTAAAAATGCGATTAATCGTGAGTTAACTCACCATTACGATGCGATTAATCAACTAAAACATTTTAATCGTTTGACAGCCTTACTATATATATTATATTTTTCCTTTATTAAAGACAACAAAACAGACAAGAACAGACATTCAACAAGAAAAAATAAGTATATAGGTATATGTGTCAAAAGTATAAGTGTAAAAAAAACAGGTTCTTCGGACCCGGGTTTAAAAAAGACCACTGGATTAAAAGTAAATTAAAAGCAATTTATTATAAAACTACATTAAAAATAAGTAAATGAATAAAAGCAATAAAACCTAAGCTAAAAGCCCGGGATAAAAGTTAAAGAGGCTAAAAAGCCTTCTGCACGACCTGGGCCGCCGGACCATGGGGTCACCCCTCGCCGTGTCTGTCTCCTGTGTCTCCCGCTTCGTCCTGCTTCCTCTCTCCGCCCCCTCCCCATCTCATTTTGTACGCAAGGCACAGGTGTTCTAATTGTCATCACGTGGGTAGCCGGGGTGCTTCGGGTGGTGCAAGTTCAAATCAATGTTAGAAGCACACACACACACAAAATGCATAAAATATAAATAAAACCTTATTAAAACCCACCACCCATTTTGCACCCACCGACATATGCATTTGAATGTCATTTTGTATCTTACGTTTCAATGCAGATGCAATTTTAGGTGAAAGACAAAATTATCGCAATAATAGTGTTATCGAAATACTAAACACTCATATCGAATATCGCTCTAGTTTCCAATATTGTGCAGCTCTAATAAAAAGTATGTAGTTAGTAATATATACATAATTATTCAGTGGTCTGACAGTGTGACCTCACAGTGGTTAGCCTTTAAGGGATTGTCTGGAGTTTGTCAGAAAAGAGAGAGAGAGGTTCGTGATTTGAAAATTAACGACCCAAGCTCCTCCCCCTTCCTTTCTGATTGGCCTTGAAGCCACGCCTACTTTTCTGTGCACACGCCAGGTCAATGGTCCAAGACGTGCGGAAGAGAGATTATAAATATGAATATTTGAATATTTATTCCTAATTTATAACTCGCTCCTCACAGCAGCAGTAGAATCGCTCCATTGATTTGAATGTAATTTCAAAACGTTCGATCATTTATTTCTTGATAACTGACTCTCAAACCATTAATGGCCGCTGCCCTTTAGCAACGCACTCTGTGCTTGTACTTCAGGTGTGTAAAATACTAAGAACACTTAAGATTGTAAGACATTTCACATTGACCTTTTGTCAATGTACATTTTAATGACATTGTCCAATATGGCCGCCACCTTGATGACGTCATGATATGTAAATTAGATGACTTTAAAGTTATAGCCTTTTGAAATCTGGATTTTAATTCTTAATGTTATTATAACCTTCTGATGCTATATATGGAACAGACAATAGTGATTTTCATCATATAATTTTCTTGCTTAAGAAAACGCAGTTTTTCTCAAATTGATCCAAATGGATTTATAGCGTTTTGGAACCAAACTCTTCATATATAATATATATATGTAATATTTGCTTTATATACGAGCACGAGCGCCGATGATTGACAGCCCTTGGCATGACTCGATTGGTTAACGTGGACGGCATCGTGGATTTTGAGCTATAGCTAAGAGAAGGGAAGGCTATAGCTCAATAGTAATTTTATTAATTACTCGTAATTAATAAAATTACTTATTTTATATCAACATTTAAGGCCAGGACATGGGCATTTGTTCTGACAGCGTTAGCTTTGCACCTTTTTATGTAATACAAAAGATTGTGAGTCAAACGCCACATTTACTTCAGTCACAGAATCGGATGGATTTAGTGAGACATAAATTCTACAGCGAAGAGCTGCATGTAACCACGACAACCGGATCCCTCTGAGACACTGAGCAGTGATGCGTTTAGGAGCACAGGGAAAAGCTGGTATTAGAAGTGTGTGTGTGTGTGTGGGCTCTTGTCTGTGTGTGTGTATTTTGTATGTGTGTGTGTCTGTGTGTGTGTATTTTGTATGTGTGTGTCTGTGTGTGTATTTTGTATGTGTGTGCGCCTGTACATGTTCATCTGTGAATAGTAAATATTGCAATAATGTGCAATACTGCAATTTAAGAATGTCCAACCAATTCACTTTTATCCTGCCAAATATGTTTTTAACTTTTCCATATATATTTTTATGTAACATTTATATTTAAATTGTATATTCTGTGAGCTTTTAATACTGTCCTGTATGTGCGCTGCAACATTGACATTTCTCCACTGTCAGTGAATAAAGGTTCTTTTATTTTCTCCTGAGTCATTTTTTCAGTGATGGATCGACTTTAATCAGGAGGTCTTCTCTTTCTTCATCCTAGTTTTCAAATGAATAAAGAGGCCAGTAGAGTAGAGTTGATTTGTTTGTCACTTTCAAACATGCCTTCAGTGTTTTCATGTCTGTCCTAGGCCTAAACAATCCAGAGAAAAATATTAAGCCCCAAATGTAGTTCATCAATATCTTTATCAGTCATTTAATCTATTTTTGATTACAAAATAAATAGAGTATTAAGAAGAAAAGGTGTCTTCTTCAAAACGTTCCCATTGAAAGTAAAGTGGTTCTGAAGATGCTCTATAATGAATGTACTGAAGTCCTTCCAGAATGTGGTGAGAGCAGATCCAGAACAGTTTCCTCAAACACAACAGCTCACATTAACACTAACCCTTATCTATAATTATTCTTATAAAGTGTCAGACTGTACGTTTCCCTGTTTCTGTTTCTGAAGGATGTTCATTGTATCATGTCATAGTTCATATTTGTTCATAGCCACACGGACAGACAGGCTGTGAGGCTATGAAGACCAGATATGCTCAAATAAATACTAAAACCATAAGATATTCTTTATTTATCTCACAAAGGAGAAATGTACATGTCACATTTGGCCTGGATAGGAACACTCAGATTGTGCAAAAAAGGGAGGAATGTGCAAACATGTTAAATGCAGGATATATTATGTACAATAAAAAAGTGGCAATCAGAAATAGTGTCAATATTAATATAATATATAATATAATATAATAGTACATAGATACTTATTTTGTATATTTTGTGTGCTCCCTGTGTCTCTTACTACTGTCCTGTCTGTGCGCTGCAACACCGACATTTCATCACTGTGGGACGAATAAAGGATCTCTTATCTTATCTTATGCTCTAGACCCAGGACTGAGGCTGTAGACCCAGGACTGAGGCTGTAGACCCAGGACTGAGGCTGTAGACCCAGGACTGGACTAATGGGTACAAAAGTGTGACAAAAGGCCAAAAATGTGATTTTAATAATCAGAAGATATTTTATGTTTTTCATGGATGCAAACTCCTCCTCTGTCCTTTAGAAGTTTGATTGGTATTTTCAGATGTCCACATTTGATTAAGATTCTATTTTGAGATTCTATTTTTTTTACAGTAGATACAAAGTGATACTTTTATATAAAAAACTAGGGCTGCAACAACGAATCGATAAAATCGAGTTGGGCTCATTCTTGTTCAGCTGTGTTCAGACTTTTTT